TTCTGAATAAGTCTAGTCTAGAATAAAAATGAGACAATTAGTGTTTTTCAGGAACCCAGTTCTAAAACGATATTATTATTTATTTATTAGTAGGTCGAAATTTTATTGGTACATACCATAGAAATTAAAAAAAAACCGACTCCAAAAAAACACTAAAAAACAAAAAATTACTGATTGATAGCTTTCATTTACTATAGATACCTAATCGGATAATTTTGAAGTCGGTGTGCTTTGATTAGTATCTGAACTGACTATGTCGAAGTACAAATAAAATATAAAGAACCTAGAAAAGTAATGTTTGAGCTTCAATAGGTAAGTACGTTTTGGCGGTTCGTATTGAATAAATAGACTAATAATACATAATATATAATAGACGTGATGAGTTTTACATCCCTTCAGAAATGATTAATTCTCTACACAAAATTCCACCCCCTTTTCACCCCCTTAAGGTGGATTTCCGGGATAAAAATTATTCTACATTCTTCGCAGAGTTTCCAACTATCTCCATACCAAATTTTAGTTAAATTGGTATATCGGATTAAGCTTGAAAAGGTAACAGACAGACAGAGTAATTGTTATAATATTAGTAAGGATTTTAAAGTACCACACGCAAGAGATCACAGGTTCGATTTGGATCGTACTAGACTTAAGAGATTAAAGATTATGTTCACACTAATATTTGTTTTTTAACTAATTAATAACAATATTGTAAATGCGAAAGTTATTCTGTCTGTCTAACAGTCACTTTTGGTTGACATATTTAAAATGACTTTAAACAAATTTGATATATCTACTATCTATACATGTAATAAAATTCAAACCGAGTCGAATTCGTATATTAAATATTTGTTGGAAAATCGTATTGAAATAGTCATTATTATCGATACAGAGACTGAATCTATAGTTTTTGGAATTTTTGTCTGTCTATTTGAGAACGCATCACGAGAAAACCACTGGACAGAGTTTGATGAAATTTCATATGATTATAGCTGGTTATCTGGATCAACATACAGGATACTTTTTACTGCAGGAAAATATCTCATCTCTGAGAAATCTATACTAAACGTTTAATTTAACGAACCCGAGCAGAGCGAGGGTGAATCGCTAGTGCAATATATAAAGATACCTCAAACCTTAAAGAAAAACATTTACTTAACAAAGGCTCGATTCTGAACGAGTGAATGAATTGTAAAGAAAAATCTAAATCTAAATTGAGATTTTTATGTAAAAATATATAAAAAACGAATTTATAAGTACTCAATAATGGCAAAACGAAAGGGTAAAGTGAGCCGCTTTGTTTTCCCTGTCTACACCGCAAGGGGAAAAGCGTCATGATAATATACGCATTTTTACGTTGAAAATATTTTTTGTTTGTATATAAATAAAATATTTGTATTAATGCTTAGTGAACAAACTACGAATCGTTATGACGATGCTGGCACAATATTTTATACAATAATAAAATAATAATATTTATAAATAGATTGCTATATTTAATTAAGTCACACGCGTAAAATAAGTATCAGTAACCCTAAGGCATTCGTATAGTAAGCCGCGGTACTCTGCTCTCAATTTTCGTTCTTAGTTCATTTGATGCATATAACCGACAGGTTCCTTCAAAAGTAAAATAGATGAAATATTTTGAGTTTAAATATATTAACTACGCGAAGAAATCAATATGAAGTAGCTTTTTTATCTGAGTATAACATAATTTAGTAGGTAATAGTAATAAATTAAAATAATTATTAATCTTTAAGTAATTCTTGCATGTAGAAATATTATATATTAAAAATATTTTTTCACATTCATTAGTTTATGTATTGTTGAAATTTATATAGAACTCTTTAGTTATTAAAAAAAATGATTAAAATTGATTCATAATAAACCGTAACATACGCACAAAAATATTCAAAAACGAAAACTGAGAACTTCCTCTCTTTGAAGTCGGTTGATAACAAAAGACAAGATGACACAGATGACTAGCTGTAGCTAGTTTAAAATATACGTACGTTGGAAGTTTAGCGAGCTATTGTGGATACCACTTTACTTGCAATAGTCTGCCAACTCCATGTTTTATTCACGTACCGTGCACCGTTTGACGCGTTTTCCGCAGTGATGCCTTCTGCTTGATACTCTTAGATTAATTCTTTTACAGTATAAAACCAGATTTTTCAACTTCATCATTTCTAAAAGGAAAATTACATTTTTTTATTGAATATAAGCATCTTTTCTTAATGTCTTGGTAATAAATAGTAAAAATAAAACAAATACGACACGTGTTAAAATATCATCTCAGTATAGCACTGAGCTTATTACTAATTCAAATAACATACACTAGCGCGTAATATCCACAGGGATGCTGTGATTAAGTTTATAAGTTTTAAAAGCTTTTTGATATAACTGTAGCAACAGAATTAACTTATCTCCATTACTTGATTTTAGATTTTAAATATAGATATTTCAAAATAGCATGAAAAGCGTTTAATTAGTTGGTTAAAGTTTTAATTAATAATAAATTATTTGATTATTAATAAATTATTTTTATGAAAAAAAGCTCTAAAGAGCTTTTTTTTATAAAATTGATTACGCTGATAGAGAAAGTGAAATAGTATATTTAATAAATACTCTCGAAATTGCCCATCCGATATATAATTGGAAAGTTTGTTTTTATTTTTATATTGCTCGATAATTTAAGTTGAAACTTACTCGTAGTTCTTGTTTGAATACTTTACAGCACACGGTCACGGATACCTAAGTTACAGACGTCTCAATTGTTAAGTTAATGTTTTAACATAACTAATTTTCCTATTGTTTTTTACTTAATTACTTTTCTAGAACTTTCGAGGTCATTGTGAAAGCTTCTTTACACGTGATAGTTTCGCTGCGCCGCGTCAATGCGACACGGGCTCCATGTTTTATTCACGTGCCATGCACCGCTTGAAGTGCGTTGTCCACAACATTGCCTAGTTCTCTTGACACTTAGATTAATTCTTTTATAACTAGACCAAACTTAGTTTTGTATAACTAAAAATATTTCTATCTTAGTGTTATTATTGCAAGGCAAATAAAAGGCATTTGTGTATAGTATTTTATATGATATCTTTACTTTCTTTCCATGAAAGTTAATAGAATGTGATGGCTTTGAATGCTTAATAAAGACAATTTTACTATAGTAAAAATACGGTGTAAGGTATGGTTTCTAATTTGAATATAAATCTAATCCGCAATCTCTACAGTATTTTAAGTATAATTCTCTCTTAGAAAATTCATATTGAGTAAATCGTATCTAGAATAGTAGATCAAAAATGTCACTGCAGTACTTTTAATATCTAAAATCCGATGAAAATTTGAGTGATGAATATAAATATTGATCTAATCCGAGCATAGTGACCTTCACATTCATACCAGTTGGTCTTCTGAAAAATTCTTTCCATTTATTCACGTAATGTATCGTTCCAAATTCCTACTCGATGTCTATATCTCATGCATTTTTAAGATTATTGGAGCTAGAATACTCAGATTGTGCATAGGTGCATTTTACTGTGTTTTGTTATTTGTTGTTTGAATCCAAAATGGCGCTCTCCGTCCTCGCTTTGTGAGCGAGCCTTTTCTTTATTGCTCAAAGAATTACCAGCGCTCAAAGCAACTGTTTTACAATTTTCAACTATCCGACTAAAATACGCTGGAAAAGTTTCGTAACGTTAAAATTAGATTAGAGTTTTTAGAGCGAAAATTATGGTTCATGGAATGATCTTTCACTTGCTCCGCTATAAAATTTTATGTGGCAAATACTAGAAGGCTATTTGTATGTTTTAAAATAACAAATAGAATTTTGTTTAATAGAAAAGATTTAAAAGTTATATGTAAGTTAGAACTTTTGAAATTACATTAGGTTCTTTTGAAGTTTCGTATACTTTAATGAACCTGTAAGACCAATTTTACTTGACGTATGTTTGGAGATTCAATCTACGAAGTAATCGTATTACTTTTTCAATCTTAAACCAAGTTAATATGCTTTGATATTAGTTGAGGTAATGTTTTTTGAGAAAAAAGGCTATTTAAATTTTATATAAAATCATTTAGAAACAATTTTACCTCTAATTGAGATAATAGAATAAAATATGTTTTTTATTTTACATAACAGAATCGTTTTTATTGTTAACTATTCAGTTAAGCATTTCTAATTAAGCTTTCATTGGCGAGGTAGAAATATCTCATTGTAGTCCTAATGAGAGAAATATCTTTGTTTACTTAAGAAATAATTATTAAACCATAAAATATACATTTATTGCAAGCTTTTAAATAAAACTTGTAGATAAAATAAGAATATTATTGCAACATTCACGTGCAATTCATAATTTAGTACCTTGTACTAACTTTATACCCTTAACTGTCGCTGCGTTTTTCGTGTTATACTTAAAAAAATATTATATTTCAATATTATTTATAGGAACAAAGTTCCTTATCCACGTTAATGGCGCACTTGTCGAATGAGAGCTAGATGGAAAAAATCGAATGGGAGCGAAAGGAATTTTGTTTCTACTAAGTGTCCTACCACACTTGTCGCCTTTTTAGAGCTATATTTGTGTTTTCAATATATATATATATATATATATATATATATATATATATATATAAATATATTCGGGTGGAAAGTTTCGATAGTTTATAATAATTAAAAGTGGATGTTAATGTTAGATAAACGAAAATAGTAAATAAAATTGATTCAGGATGTAAATAACGTTAACAATATAATATTATTAATAAAATATTTGTGTACTGAAATACGGTTTTATTATTTTATATAATTTTTCTTAGTTACGATTAAACCATTAAATCTTTGATTTTTTTTATATCATAGAATAACAGAAAGCTGCTTTCGAGATTTTGTAATTAAGGAAAATTAATATAGAAAATATATAAATCTCATATTTTACTATATTTAAAGGTTATATTTATAATGTTTCTTTCGATGTAACATTAATATACATAACAGTCTACACACAGCTCTCTCTTGCGTTGGCTAAGAGTGGAGTCCTCGTTGTGACGACTTCTCTTCTCCGTGACAACGTACCACTTGTCACACTGCGACGGTCATCCGCTAATGTACCGATACTCTAAAGGAAGGAAATTTTATTATAATATAAATTATATACTTATAAACAAACTAGCGATTGATTCCCCATACAAATTTTAATCCCCATTTCCACCCTCTTAAGGGATGATTTCCTGGATAAAACTAGATACATATCCTATGTCCTTTCCAGGATCTCAAACTATTTTCATAGCAAATTACATCTAAATAGGTTCATCGGTTCGAGAGATTACCCCCTACAACATCACGAACTCACAAACTTTACCTCTTTATAATATTAGTATAGGTAAGTATAGCTTTTTAGCTTATATTTTACTTATATTTTAGAACGCAATAAAGAAGAATTTACATAGGTTATCTAAAAATAGCTATATATTTGTGTTTTGAAAATTCAAATATAAAAAAAAATTGTATGCCTGTCTTTTCTTCTTAGTCTTTTGGTAGAATTCTAATCCAACCAAAAGTATATTAAGTATCTAAATATCTTTTATCTAACTCCATCGATATCGATAATGCTGTAGATGACACTTTACCTAATACACTGATCATAATAATCAAAGTTAAATATTACAAACTCAAATGTTTGATTTTTGGTTTGTTAGTGTATACTTCTACACAGAAACCAAGCCATTAATTAGATTATTTACACAGAAATGTACTTTGACCTCGAAAAATGAATTTAATTTGCTGTATTTCTAATAATTCCCGTCTTTATTAATAGGAAAATCGAACCAATAACTTTAGAAATAATAAGCCGTGCCAGTTAATACAACCGAAAAGTCATCTAAACATACCAAAAATAAAGCTAATTTAAACATACCATATGGCTTATTTATATAAAACGGAAAATAAATATATAGAACATTTTTATTACGCTTTCCAACTTTATCTTATAGGCTTTACGATATACGACACGGGGAATGACAGTTCCGTAGGGAGTTTTCTTGTTTCCCGCAGTTTCAAATACTTATCTGTCGTGTGTCTCATTATATATGTCGAGCATTTGCCATTATAATAATTATAGAAAAGATTATTTATTTAACAAAACGATAAATATTTCAAGTTTAATATTTGAGAGTTGTATAAGTAAAATGAATCAAAGATATTTATTTTACGCATCTTGGATTCAGTATTGGCTGAAAGTGGGGTTTGATTATCGAAAGATATTTCCATTATACTTTAAAGGTTCATTTTTATTAAGAACAGGCTATAATATATTTGACTCTCAACTTCACTACGCTTCTTGGATACCGATATATACCTCCGGGTCATAGTCTATTTGTGTTCCTAATTTCAGGCAAATCCTTTCAGTCGTTTCAGCGTGACAGAGTAACAAACATACATACATTCATACACACAAACATTAATAAATAAATATGTTGGGACATTAACACAGCACCATCTAGTTCCATAGTAAGCTACGAGGCTTGTGTTATGGATACCAGATAGATGATACATTAAACATATATAACTTAAAAGATATACAAAGTATAAATATAAACACCCATGACTGGAGTACAAACATTCGTGCTCATCACGCAAACGAATGCTCCAAGCGGGGCTCGAACCCGCGATCACTGACACAGCAAGTACTACTACAAACTGAGCCAAACGTGTCGTCAACTTTAGTACTTATAATAACTATAGTAAAAATATTAGTCCGATTAAATATATGATAATGTATTAACCACACAAACCTGCGCATCAGACATGGGCGTGTTAGGCGTGTGTGGTGTATTCGATCTGTCGTGGAGACTTTGCACACTTCTGGATGAGCCCACTGGCGGTGATACTACCGCGTTGTAAGGCGGCGGTTCCGGTGGTCGCTCCGAATCTCGCGTGCAATTGAAATCTACATAAATATAATATTAATATATTTTTGTTTGTTTGCTTAAATGCATTTAATTCGGAAAAAAAAGATAGATTGAATAATCTTTTTCCAACCTTATTAGTGAATGTACGTATGTTATGTACATACATACATACATATGCGCCTCATCTAGTAAAAGTATACATAAATAAAATAGGCAATCAGACTCTCAGGAAAGAGATAGTTGAAACTATAGGTATAGTTAACAAATCGTCAAAGGCTTGTAAATTTGTTTTTTTGTATAAATTCTTTTTTTTTGTATTCAGTATTAAATAATAACAATTTTAATTAAAAATCAAGACAGACAGAATTTAAATTAAAATATCTACAGCTAGTTGGAAAATAAATTGTATTAGTCCCGAAAAAATTATCTAAAGAACAAAAAGATTGCAAAAATAACAAATAAACCTAAAATATACGTATAGATGAACTTTATGCACGAAAACATAATATCAAAATCTAAATATATTGTTGTTTACATAACAAATAGGAAATGCAAAACTTATTTTTATACAAACTAAAATAATTCAATAAAGGCCTTACCCACATTGTTTACACAACGTATTAGTTTGTCAATTAGAACATGACATGTTTAAAGTAGACACTAGACATGTTAACTAATAAAATAACTAAAATCCAAACAAACAACAAAAACTTGATTCATATAGCAAATGTAGTTTGAATCTAAACAAGCCTTAGAGATACTTTAAGATACAGCATCATTGTTCTTTCATGTCGACCTCAGCTAGGATAACAATTCCCATGCAAACAAATGCACTCACCTTTCCCAAGAGGCACTACATCGGGATTCTTGTCGTCCGGTTGTATAAGGGAATGGTTTGAACTATGAATGCCCTTATACGCCTTCGCCATCTGCATTGGAGCTGAAACAAAATATTCTCTAGTATTTAATTTGAATTTTATTACGACTCGAAATAAATCTTAACTTACTCCTTTTGTATGTTACTCTTACGTACGTTTTTAAATTGGCGTGGAAATATTACAGTGGATTTTTATTTATGAGACGGTATATTTAATATACTTGCTCTCGTTAGCGACTCCGTTCAAATGATAATAATAAAAAAATGGATAAACTAAAGTTTGACTCACACGGCAGAGGTTCCGTAGCATAAAACATTGATTTGTTTGTTGTTTTAACATATTTTTTTTGTTTTAATATACTTTTTTACGTTAAAAGTTAAATAAAATATTTAACCATCTATGATATTCATTTTATTGTCAACTAGCGACCCAGCTCCGCTTCGCTCGGGTTCATCTCTAGGTACGTTTTAACGGTAAGTATGGAATAAAAAGATTATATATTATATGATATAAAACCTACAGCTTTCCTCAATAAATGGGCTATCTAATGCTAATATATAATAATCTAATTAGTAGTTTCCTGAAATAAGCGCGTACAAACAAACAAACAGAAAAACAAACAAACTCTGCCTTATAATAATATTAGTAGAGATATAGACAAGATTGTATTTCATAATATTACTATTATATCTTTGTCTCTTGTTAATTGTATTACCGAACGCGTAAAACATTTGAGTACTTCAGTAAAAGTACTTTTTGGGTTCCAATAGAAGTCAAATAGTAGAATTTTTTGTTTGGACAATTCGTTTGTGCTCTTTTCGGACAGATACTAGACCTGTTGTGAAACTTTTAAAGTTTTAAAGTTTTTATTTAATTCAACAACTCAACAGAGTTAATAAAACACTCTTGAATTTTATCGTTACATGTGAATACGTATACATACGAGTTCATTGTTTATTTTATACTTTTACAGCATCGTATTTTAATTTTCGAGATTTTCTTTACAATACGAATATCGTTTTACCTATATTATTACTAGAAAATTGAAAGAATAAAATATAAATAAATAAATATGTTGGGGCATTAACACAACACCATCTAGTTCCATGGTAACCTAAGAGGTTTGTGTTATGGATACCAGATAATTGATACACTACATATATATAACTTTAAATACATACATATTTATACATATAATAAAATTCTAACTAAGTCGAATCTTTCCACCGCGGGAAAATATCTCATTTAAATATAATTATTATAAAATAAACAACAAAACAAAGTATTAAACTACTAGAACAACAAGTGAACCCCTATTGAACAGCTAGTATCACATATATATAAAATTGCCGACAGCTTCAGAAATAATATATGCAACATGTTTGCCAAAGTTATTAGAACGTCATATTTGAAAATTTCCCCTTTACCGTTAAAGTTATATTACTTTTCTGACCTTTCACTTAGAATATACTTTTAATAATGCAATATTGCAGTCAGGTTTTGACATTTCGTGCACAAGACACTGTAGGTTACAAATGTCAGTGGAAATTTCTTCATTGTCTAAGTTCACTTATAGTTCATAACAGTGCTTATATCGTGAATTGTGACGTTGGTGTATATTAGAGCTATTTATAATCCTCTAAGAATATAATTTTTAAAATATGTGTGTGTATGTGCATTTGTTGCTTTTACGCTGCAAATATTGAAAGAATTTAAGTTAAATTCGAATCGGAGATAGCTTATACATTGGATTCGTCGTCATGCAGAGTCGTGTGTGGAAACTAGTAAATAAAATTTAGTAGTGGCTATTCCTTATAATATAAAACAAATGTTAGTGAAACTAAGTTTAGTATTTAATATTATCTAACACTGTTTTATAGAAAATTTATTAAACTACTAAGACAACTGTGATGTCTTTAAAAGTATATATTCATTATTCAGCCCTGTTTATCGTCCCACTGCTGGGTACGAGCCTTTAATACTAAAGGCCAGGCCATATATATTCCATCACACTGGCAAAGTGCAAGTTGGCAGACTTCATTTGTCTTTTAAAAACTTTTTAGGTTATGTCAGACATACAAATTTTGCGATATTTTCCTTCAACGTAAGCCTAGTGGTAACCATGGTAACAATGATTCGCAAATAAAAGAATCAGAGATGCGAGACCTGGGATTTGAACCCGCTTCACTTGTCTTTCCAAGTAAGCGCAATAGCACTGAGCTATATCTTCTGTCCTTATACAATCAAGCAAGTGGAACCAGGTTACAATTACATTGTAATATTGTATTACAGTTAAAAGAAATTATAAGGCAGTTATTTGAATCAAACAATATTTAGTGTGATTCCCGATATTTAAGTTCTATTGTTACCAATATTATCTATTGTTTACGCGAAATAGTTATTGAATTTCAAAGTTACCGTCAAGTTTTAGGTATTCAATCGTAAACTTATTATGAAACAAAGATCTAAAGCTCAGTAAATAAACCTATGAACAGATTTTGAAATATGTTCCATATACATTTCCTTTATTCCTCCAGAACGTTTAATTATAAAATATACGAAATAATTAACAGAAGTTATTACAATGAGGGAAATTATGTTATATAAATATATACAAAGACATTGGTACCCCAGTGGTAACGCACTCGCTTAGAAAACTGAGTGAGTTCAAATCCCGGGTCTCGCACCTTTGATATTCTCATGTGCAAATCATTTCCAACACGATTACTACTTGTTTTACGGTAAAAAAAACATCGTGAGGAAACCTGCTTATTTGAGAGTTCCTAGAAAATTTTCGAAGGACACGTGAAATCAGCCAACGCGCACTTGGCCAGCGTGGTGGACTATGGCCTGATCACCCTCGTATTGAAGGTAGGTCCGTGCCCAGCAGTGGGACTTTAAAATAGGCTGCATATAATATAAATACAATATACATGTGTTACCAAAAATATATAAAACGAATAAGAAAATATTATAAAGTAATCGATATTTTGTGTTAAAATGATGTAAAATTGTTGTTTGTCACGCAAAATTACGCTTTCATTCAAAAGAGACAAGTCCTGACATAACCTGGTACAGAAAAATTGAACCGTTGAATAAGCCATGGTGTCATAAAATCTATAAAATAAAATATTATTCATTCTAGTCTTATTATTGACTGCCTCGGTGGTGTAGTGGCTAGCATGTACAGCTGCACACCCGGAGGTCCTGGGTTCGAGTCCCGGGTCGGGCCAAGTTTAGTTATTGACTCTTTCTGTATATTAAGCCTTAGTAACAGCCCGGAGTTGGGAAGTTGGCGGTGTTTTACCCCCGTGCCTCGGAGAGCACGTACAGCCGTCGGACCTGCGCCTTAACTCTCACTGGTCGTGTCGAGTAGTTGTCCCACCAGAGTATGAGAGTGACAGGAATAGAGAGTGCACTTGTGTCTGCGCGTACACTTGTGCACTATAATATCTCCTATGCAGTTGGCTAGTCTCAATAAGATTGGCCGCCGTGGCCGAAATCGGTCGGGAGAACATCATTATTGAATATACATCCACTCACATCTTACCGTTGTTTTAAGCGTTTAACTTACCTTTAATAATATACGGAACTAGCGACTTACTTCGTCTTTCTTCCTCAAAATTTCATCCTTATTTTAACCCCTTTACGGGAGGATATTCATAGTAAATCCTCCCCAGGGTCTCAAACTGTCTTCTTACCGAATTTCATCTGAATCGGTTCAGTAGTTTCGGAGCCTATTCGGTACAAACAAACGAACAAAAAAAGTTTTTCTCTTTATAATATTAGTATAGATGAAAACGCTGAAGAACTTTCGGCCATTGTTTTTTAAAGAAAACTTGCATTTACACACACTGTGTCTCATTATGCTTCTTTAATTTTTATAAAATAGTTAGAAAATGGTATAAAGGTATCTTGCAGACACCTTTATACCATTTTCTTCACAGTTTATACTTTTGCAGTATCACCGTAGCCATTGTTTTACTGTATACTTATAAGAATTGTTACTAAATAAATAAATTACATTTCATTTAAAAACACTTTATTCATTGTTTAGACAATCTTGACTCACTTTTACTTTCAGGATACGCTAAGAGAACCCACGACCTCTGTGGTATCAATAAAAGTACTCGTACTGCGTTACGATAAACTGTCCAAAAAAGTGTATTCACTATTTGAATAAATAATTTATTATTTAATTACTTGATTATTCAATACATTCATACCATTTTTTCTACTTCATTACCCAGTAACAAATTGCTTTACGCTACATTTAATCAAATTTCCAATAACCTATTATAAAGCAAAAACGAATGGCGTAATATAAATGTATAATATATATTGTTATTTATATGCTTACATTATAATAATATGTACCTATAATTTGGATTTAATATCGTTCGGAACCATGGATTTTATCTTTGCAGACTGAAATATCAACATTTTGATGATAAGCTGTGTTCTGAATACGGTTTCATCCGCGTTTCTTATGTTTTTTCTCTCAACGTTATTTTTACCGTCATTTATAATTGATAAGTTCAGAAATAAGTTACAAAATGTTACTTAAATTATATTAAAGTATACTATATTATGTTAGTATAGGAAAACCAAATTCATATCCATAGTATTGATAGCTTATTTTTTTACTTGAAAGTACTAAAACGTGTTTTTTTGAATAAAAAGTGTTTTGAATAAAAAGAAAATTGCAATAAAGTATATATGTATGCTTAGTTGACATTTAAAAGAGTTTATAGAATTATTTTTCATGCTCCGTATACATTAAAGTCCCATAATATTTATATTAATATTATACATTATTATAATAAATTGTTTTAATCCCTCCACGACCGTGGACACGCTGACGTGTCAGTTAACAATAGATTTCTTAGAATTTTAATCAATTTCTTAGAAATTTACCTGGAGGTGTCAATTGAGGAAATTGAGGTTAAAGGCTATCTGATATCAAAGTACAACTATTAGACGCAGGACAATTATACATGTAAAAAAAAAATTTGAAAGCTTAAAGCTTCCACATTGCTAATTTTACAAGTCTAAATATAAATAAATATGTCATGGGACACACAGCACCATCTAGTTCCATGTTAAGCTATGAATCTTGTGTTATGAATACTAGATAGATAAGCTACATATAATATATAACTTTCAATACATACACATTATAAATATGACCATGACTGGAGTACAAACATTCGAGCTCATCACACAGATGAATGCCAATGCCAGCGGGACTCGAACCCGCGACCGCTGGCACAGCAAGTAAGGTCACTACAATCTGAGCCAAATGTGTCGTCAAAGTCTATATGAATAACATATTTTTTGAGATTAAGTTCTCAACAGCGACGTAAGTGAATAATACAGTAAGTTACTATTTATTTCAAACTAGTCTGAATATGAGTGTTAATAAAAAAAAATATTTTTTACACACAAACAAAAATCGTTTTAAGTTTACGCACAGTAAATGTTATTCAATGTTTAAATATAATTTAACTTGTTGCCATTGTATGGCATTTATGATTATTTTCGTTTTGTGATATTTACTTTTGTGTAATAAGAATAAGTTCAAGCAAATAAGTTTATTAGTACCTAAACTATAATATATTTTTTTTACTTTTATCTAATATTACGCATGCTCTGATGTATGTAGATGGCAAAGCATTTAATCAATGTACTGATAGCATAATATTTAAAATTGTCATGTAATAATGTGTTTTCTGTTGACGATCCTAAATAAATAAATAAATAATTCAAAATATAACATATCTCATTATAATAAACTTTCTACTATCATTCTCATTAGCCGATCTTTCTTCTAAATCTAAGCCAACAAAACTAAAATACGTGCAAAGTCTTACGAAAATTCGATATACGGAAAAATGCAATCTGATATCTATTACAATTTGAAATTTAACACTGCACTTTGAATATCTGAATTCACACACGATTTTCCTTTTTGCGATCTCTCGAGGGAGAAAACTTAATAAAAACGTCGCCAACTGACGAAACATCTGCAATATTTGTAGAAATGTAGAAGGACATAAATCACATTTGACGACACGTGTGGCTCGGTTTGTAGTGACCCTACTTGCTGTGCCAGTGGTCGCGGGTTCGAGACTCGCTAGGGGCATTCAATTGTGCGATGAGCACGAACGTTTGTACTCCAGTCATGGGTGTTTAAATTTATAATATGTATATATTTAGAATTATATATGTGTAGTGTATCAACTATCTGGTATATATAACACAAGCCTCGCAAGCTTACCATGGACTAGATGGTACTGTGTATGAATGTCCTAACACATGTATTTATTTAAAAGCAGTGAAAACGGTTGAAGAGCAAGTGTTTAAATACTAAAATTTTGCTTCCATTAATTAACATTTAAGTTTATTATAAAGTTTTTAATTCTGGTATGGCGCAACCATCTTTTTTGGATATCAGCCAAAAGCTTTCGGATGTCCGCCACCAGCTTAGTACCCTGGTATTATTTACGATGGAATTTAGAAGTCATCTTCATTTCGGAAAAAAAGATTCAACTTTTAATCTGGCTTCACCGTTTACAATCCTTGGGAACATTGATTAATTAATTTCTTTTTCTTGCGGTCCACTTTTTATATTATTCTTAGTGTCTTTTTAGTACTTTTTTGCCTCCTCTCTTAATACTCAATCAAACAAAACATAAATTACGTTGGGAAAATTGTAAATTATGTGAACTTTCTAGAAACACATAAATCTTTTAGCCTAAATTCTCGAATTAAACGCTTAGTTGCTAAATAAAAGTTAGCATTCTGACTACAACATAAATGTGACGTAAATTAAAACCTACATTTTTACGTAATATCTATAAAAACTTTTATGTGTGTATGTATGTGGTGTGCTTTGATTTGTATCAGCTGGCACTGACTTCAAAAATATTTGATTAGGTATCTACAGTAAATTAAAACTACCAACCAGTTATTTTTTACTTTTTAGTGCTTTTTTTTTTGAAGTCAGTTTTTTTTAGTTTTTGTTATTCCCTTTTCAGTGTAGATATAGTAGTAGCAAAGTGAGAAGAAAGTATTTTAATAAAATATTCCCTTAAACCGTTTAAGTTACTTTGAAGCCAATTTTTAGAAGACTTACAAACTAAAATTCACTTTTATTAGTAACACTAAAAATTCTGGCTCTTAAATTCGATTCTAACGTATTGGGCTTATCAAATCAAACAAAATAAACCCAAACTCAAAGTATCTAGTATTAGCTGTTGAAAAGTTCCACATATCCACCATCTGGCCTTACCATCAGATCAGGTCGTCGATACCGAACCACTGCTCTATCAACGGAAATAGAAACACAAAAAAAATTTAAGTCAATATGGCATTATTAGAAGTAGATTAAATTGATTAATAGCTATTTTTCCTCCCTTAGGGGTGGTATATTTCTTTAAAATTTATATGAGTCCAATCTGGAAGTATACACATTCAAACAAAACAAAAATTGTCCAAATCGGTTCATAAATGACGATGTTCTGAGGTAACAACATTAAAAGAAAAACAACCGAATTGAGAACCTCTCCCTTTTTTGGGGAAGTCGGTTGAAAACAGACCAACTTAAAACAATTATAAACCTTTCACGAGAATTAAGCTACAGTTTAAAATAATTTTCATGTCTAACAAAACATAAAAGCGTTCTTTAAACTAATTTCCAAGCTTCAACTTTGATTGCAGTATAATTTTCTAATTACAAAGGCGACTGCTACATTATTTGTATATAAATTGCTTTGTCACTAAAGGTGATGATAATGGTGTCATAAAAATTCAAAGTTAGCCCATTTCCACGTTAAACTATAGGTATTCTACACGCGAACCTCGACAATATATGTTTCTACGGTCGAACCACTAAAACCTCACTATGAGATATTACAGTTTAGAATGGGTTTGTAAAATGCTTTGTATTTTAACTCTAGAGCAAAAAATATGGCACTTTATATGATAGAATTTTACGTTGCAGATATGAAATAAAAAAAAATTAAGAATGTGAGTATTAAGTCATATGACATTGTCATTAAAGAATCAATTTTTAATTAAATTTCTAGAAAGTCGTGGCCTATAACCTTTACTTTTATATTATGATTTCTTTTATTACTAGCGACTCAACTTCGCTATGCTTGGGTTCGTCCCTAGGTACGTCTTAAATTAAAATGGATATAGTATGTTATCCTTAAGAGATAGACATATGCCATCGCGGACTTTTCTGTAGACCTATATCTTAATACGCAATTCCACCATACATTATTTTGTTATATCTCAAAGCTTCCAAACGTCTTATTTTTTCCGACACCTCCAACAAATATTTTAGCCAATGTATACAAAAACTTAACAAATTATATATTAAAACCTTTCTCTTGAATCACTCTATCTATTAAAAAAAATCGCACCAAAATCCTATATGTAGTTTTAAAGATTTAAGCATACATGGGGATATCGGAACAGAGAAAGCTACTTTGTTTTATACTATGTAGTGGTTACAAAGCTTACTAGCCTAAAAGTCTCTAACATATGAAAAGTTATATTCATAAAAAGTTACTGAAGTGACTTATTGGGTCTGATTATAAGAGAACGCAGGCGAATCGTCAAAGCTTTTGTGTTAATGTACATAGCTAATAACTATGGCACAACGTATCATATATTGACCTATATATTAAAGTGATCCTAAACATATTATGTATGTCATGCGGATTTGATTCCACAAAAATTAGATGTTAATATTAACTATACGAGTAGATTGATGCTAGTGTAATGCTACCTGGAAATTTTGCTCCAATTGATAATGATGAAGTCAATGAAAATAAAATATATCGCGTTCTGGAGATGAGTAGGTGCTATATTTTATTTATTAAATTAAAATATCTAAGTTATTGCCGACTTTATACGACAAATATTTTTTCAGTGTAATAAAATTCTTTCTTTAATAATATTATCATATCTTACAACGTTTTAACACTTATTTAACACAAATTTAGAAATCTCTGTGATATTGAAAAAGTAAAATTTTGTTATTAGTGACTTTTACCCTCGCTTCATTCAGGGTGTGTTTTGATTGACTCTTCTTTATATATAAATAATATGTATGTGCATTATGTGTAATATGTATTCGTCCATCCAGCTTTTTCAGCGTGAAAAACTAACAAACATACACAAACAATATTTCGCACTTATAATACTAGTGGGATTAATCCCTCCACGACAGCGGATACACCGGCGTGTTAGTTAACAATACATTTCTTAGAATTTTAATTAATTTCTTAGTTTACCTGGAGGTGTTAAAGAAAATACATAAACTAATAATTTAAATATTTCAACATACATTGTACACTACCTTCGTACTGCAGCGGCTGATGTCGTTTTCTCGCCAGCAATGCAATGATCACGATGAACAAAAGCGTGCCCACCGCACCAGCGATAATGCCCAACGCCCAGCTCGTATCTATATTGCCTGTACTCTTCGCTTCTGTGGCAAATAAAAAACGTATTATAATTTAAATAGCAATTAAAATTTCGCTATTTTATATAGTACTAGCTGTCATCATAACAAATTTCATCAAAATCCCTCCAGTGGTTTTCGGTGATGCGGTCACAGACAAAGAGACGGACAGACAGAGAGACGGACAGACAGACAGACAAACATTCTAAAAACTAAAAATTCGGCCTCTGTATCGATAATAATGTCTATTTCAATAAAATTTCCTAAATAATAGTTAATGCACAGAGTCGGCTTAGTTACAATTTTATTATATATGTGTAGATTATAATTATTTAATAGTTTTGCTGTAGACTAAATAATATTCTATACTAGTCCATGTCTAGACAGATAATTAAGTTTAAACTAGATATAAAGGGGATTCAAGGTCATGTTAAAAGTAATGATTTTATCCTTAGGATTAGAACTAATTAAATCTTTGTTTGTCTTTAAAATAAAATAAAACTGCTGGAACATTAACACACAACACCATCTAGTTCCATGGTAAGCTACGAGGCTTGTGTTATGGATACCAGGTAGTTGATACACTACACATATAATTAACTTTAAATACAAACGTATTATAAATTTAAACAAACACGACTGAAGTACAAATATTTGTGCTCATCACACAAATGAATGCCTCCAGCGGGATTCGAACCCGCGACCGCTGGCACAGAAAGTAGAGCACTACAAATTAAGCTAAACGTGTCGCTTAAAATGTTTTTAACCTTTTTACGTTACATAATAATTATTTTTCTTGGTACTGACAAAGCATTAATAACTGTGGCGTATGTTATTTAAACCACACTATGGCTTAATATTATCTGAAATTTCTAAGTTTTTATTACATCAGAAACCCTATATTATGAAAAAAGTAGACCAAAGTACCAAATCTCTTTCAAAACATAACATTCTACTTCGTACAAGGCCGAAATTTGATGCTCTGTATTCTTAAGTTCTGAACTTTAACCTTTAAAGGACTTTCCTCATCTACTATAAATATGAATTTTCAAATACAAAAATCCTAAATGACGACAATTATTTTACAAATATTGGGAAAGAAATTTAACCGTTAATAATGTTTATATATCATACTGTATAAGGTAGTGGTAGCCCAATGGTAACGTGCTTGCTTGGGAAAACAAGTGAAGCGGGTTCAAGTCTCTGGTCTTGACCTCTGATATTTTCATGTGGGAATCATTTTCAACTTGATTACCACTTGCCTTACGGTGAAGGAAAACATCGTGAGGAAACCTGCATGTCTAAGAGAACAAAGCTTTTCGAAAGACACGAAGTCCTCCACCCCGCAATTCACCAGTGTGGTGAACTATAGCCTGATCCCCCTTGTAGTAAATGTGCCCACTAGTAGGACGTTAAAGAAGACTTCTTCTCCCTGCCCATTTCCCAATCACTTGGGGTCGGCGCAGTACATCTTCTGTACTGCTGAAAGGATTTGGCAAAAGTTTTACGACCGACCGCCTGCCTAATGTCAACCCTCCTTGGTAATGCTATTGTCTCTCTTTGTCTGAATGGTATCGCGGAAATCTTGTAAATATTATGCACTTTCGTTAAAAAAAGACTGAATACGAAAATATCACAGAAATGTCTAAACACACATCTTAGTAAACCAAATAATATTTGAAAAATACCTTATAATTGAAATTCAATTTGTAATGGCTATAAATAAATGTCAAAGTTCGTGAGGATCAATAGATCTTGAATAAGTCACGGCAAATCTGAGAATATGGAAAATATTTTTTGCACAATATTAAAAAACTTGTTTACCGTTTATTCTTTTGTAGTTGACTTGTTTTGTCACTTTATCCCCGCCTACACTGTGATGGCAATGACGTAAAGCTATAAATATATTTTACAATAATTCTGGATAGCTTCCCTCTAATGTACCAAGAATTAAGTTACCTCAGAGAAATAAATATGAAGTTCCAGAAATGTTTTCCCTTTGAAGTATAAAATTATTTTTAGTATAAATTATATGATACGCTAGGATACGTCTTCTTAAAATTTTAAATGTTACAAGTAATTCAGCCAATATAATTTGGTTTGTAGAAACTTTGAATCATCTTAAAATTGAAATAGTACAAATTTTTCTTCATATTTTGTACATACATACATAGATATTACAAATTCCAAGTACCCTAATACATCATCACCAGCTAAACCTACGAAAAAGCTTTATCCATATTTTAACTATTCAGGCTAGTGGCTGCTGGCTATCATGTACTGTTATAGATCTGGAGGTTCTGACTTCGATTCCCGAGTCAAGCCGAGTTAGTATTTTAGACAAATAAATTGTCAGGAACTAAAACATAGAAAATATAAATATAATGCATATGCATTACAATATATCCTGCGCAGATGTCTGGATAGATATTTATAATATTTATTATTTATTTCGATAATTTGCCATTATTGAAACTACATTTTTTTTATGGCAGCACCCGTTTTAATGTTCTGTCACGGTAGTATATACAAGTAAGCAAGGGCGGCTAAAAATAACGCTGGACAAGCGAAATTACAACCTTTTTAAAAACACCAACTTCCCAATATATTCTACTATAATTTTTTAATCAAAATTTCGTAAAATTGTATCGAAAAATCGCTTAGACCGGCCTAGAGCTCGAACCCAGGACTTTACAAATTATACATAAATTTAACGTTATATAATAATACCTGTATGTAATGCCAGTCTCGATAGCGTATGTATTCTGAGTGTTGAAACCTCAGATCTCCCTCTGGCATTATTCGCATAGAACACAAGTGTCAATTCCTTTCCAGAACCGAGACCTTGCAGCTTCCATATCGGTGTAATAGTTGATACGTTAGCAATTAACGTATTCATCTCCCAAGCTTCTACAAAATATGTTGTTTGGAGACCGCCGTCATAACCTGAATAAAATACGATACCTTTTTAACTAAAAATTAGTAGTAGAGATATATTTTTATTGACATTTATTAGGAACCACGACCTTCAGCTATAGCCTATTTTTAAAAAAAACCTTAAATTGGGTACAAATATACATATGACATTCTCAGTATTTACCATAACAAAGAAAAACTAAGGGTTTTGACGTCACAAGAGTAAATACAATTCACTTCTTATGTTCAATGGCTTCTAGGAGTGCCGTTTATCTCAAAAGTGTCTATAAAAAAGTAATGTATCTAAAAAAGTAATGTATCATCTGTAACTAAAGGAAAACAAAGCTCAAAAATAAAAATCTGAAACAAAAAATAGTCTTTAAAATACAACATCCTAGCAGAACCCGTGGCTTCACTCGCGCTAAAACTACAAAAAAAACTCTAAAATGGTAGGTTTCATACAAACTTTCATTCGCTATTTTACCCCCTTATGGTATGAATTTCGAAAAATGCTAAAACATATATTTAATTAAATTTATTGAAGAGCATTTATACCAAGTTTCAAGTAATTCTGATCATACATTTTTTTGGATTGTATTATAACGTTTTTTCCCGTAGGAAAGAGATGATCTCCCGCGGTAAAAAGTAGCCTAACTCACTCTCCAGCCCTCCAATTATCTCCACACAAAAAAATCATGCCAATCTGCCAAGCCGTTTCGACGTGAAAGAAAGACAAACAAACAAACACACTCACAATTATAATACTAGTAACTATGGATTCGCCTACATTTAGATTTAGTTGATTTACTTACTTAGGCAAGTATAATTAATATTCAATATTTACCAATAACTAGTTTAAATTACTCACCGGCTAAACATCTCAACTCCGCCGAATCGTCTGTGAGGTTGACACTTGTGCAGTTAGTAGGCGGATCCGGTTTCACAGCCGGAAGGAGAGTGTACCTACACGGCTCTATTTGCTGCCCAGCTAGATTATTGGCTCTACACGCAAGTGACCCGTAGTCCGTATCAACAGTTGGCGTGTATGTTAGTATAGAACGGCCAGATTTTTCTATTGTGTACTTGCTCTGTATGAAAGAAACACAAATATTTTAATTAACTTTCATAGTACGAATGAGTAAAAAGGTTTAGTTTATATATTTTAAATAAAGCAACACAGAGATAATATACTGGTAATGATATAAGAATATGTAGTTTTTGGCATATTGACTTTTTGATATATTCGTATTTTTGTTTTTTCTGTGATGCGGTAATAGACAGACAGACAAAAATTTTAAAAATTATAGATTCGGCCTCTGTATCGATAATAATATTTATTTCAAAAAGATTTTCAAGTTATAGTATATATTAAGTTACAATTTTATTATATGTATAGATTACCTTGACAGTAAACTAAAAAAATCGTTGCTTTGAATAAAACATTTTGTATTGAAATTATAAGGAAAATTAATATTAATAACACTATATACACAAATTATGGAACCAAAATATGTATTTAGCATGGGTTGCTATCTAATTAAATTCAACGAAATATTTAGTTTAATACGAACAGCAATTTTGCTTATAATTTGTAATTTATAATGATTGAAACATAATAATCTTCTATTAGGATCCGATGGATTCAATAGTTCTTTTAAGGCATTTGGGTGTAATAATGCCTAATTTCAGAAATACTCTATTTTGGTGACAGAAAAATCAAGACCTGGGTTTGTGTTAAGGTTTCATTAATTGTATCACAAATTAATATAACAGCATTAAAATCGTTTAAAATGCCTTAAATTACGTTTGAAGAAAATTTTTAGTTTCAGTAATTTAGAAAATTAATTCAGATTAAAACTATTGAATGAAATAATAAAATCACTTATAATTGGTATCGAATTACTAGAACATAAAGAGGAACAATCATGTATATGAATTCATATGAAAGTTAATATACTCGTATAATACAAAGCAAGTAACAATTAACAAAATAAAGTCATTAGGTTTTATTGTTATATAAAATAAACAGAAGCATTCAATGAACGAACAAACAATTTGTTGTATTTTGTTTGTATGTACATAATTATCCTAAGCAATATTATGTAGAAAAATAAAAATATGACATTGTTTTTTTAAAAATGTTAGGCAATTTGTGGTAATTTCTAAGGTAATTTGGGTTATTTCTTTATCATTAATTATTATTAATGACTAAGCTAGACTAATTTTCTTTGCTATCTATAAAGATTGTATCTATCGATCGTTGATGAAAATAATTTGTCCTTTCATAACTAATGACAATAATCATATTTTCATAAAATAATATTTATATATTATAAATGAAATATAAATATATGAAATATATGAAAATATTGTCTTTTGGACAAGTGTTACGTTATTTAAAACTAGCTCCCTCCTACTTACTAGGTTGCTTCCCCATACAAACTTTCATCCCAATTTTCACTCCTTTAAGAGATGATTTCCGGGATAAAAAACATCCTATGTCCCTTCCAGGGTTTTAAACTATCTTTTTACCAAATTTCATCTAAATCTGTTTAGTAGTTTCGGAGCCTATTCGATACAAACAAGCAAACAAGTCTTTCCTCTTTATAATATTAGTATGGATTTATCATGTTACTTTTTTTCACTTTTTATGCTTAAAAGAACACCATTTCAAAATTTCAATTAGTAACCACCTTATAGGTGATTTTTTTTTACATATTCAAATTAAAACACGCTATCTTTATGAAAATCAATAATTAAAATCTGCGCATAATTTGTGTATATATCAAATAACGCATGTACTCGTATATACGAAAAAAATACAATTTCTTGAAAATGGAACGTAGATTACATAAACATGTTGTAAGTTATATTTAAGACTCGTTTACATACCGCCTTACAAGATAAATACTTTTAAATTTGATAATAGCCCTCTGATATGCTTCTACGAAAACCTATGAAGTTATCGTAATAAATATGAAAATATGTAATAGGATAAAAAAACTAAATAATGACAATTTTATTATTATCATGAGCACAGCGACAATTTTTATATTAATCGGTTTTATTTATATGTACATCACAAACGTCAAAATACAACTTACAATCAATATTATATGGAAGGATCCTCGTATAAATAACAGTACCTGGGCTACCGAGCTTCGCTCGGAGTTTTTGGCCTAAAGTACAAGTTTCTTTTTTTTTAAACTAAAAACTTGAATAAATATAAAAAAGAACAAAAGTAAAAGCTTTGTATGCGACCGAGATTCAAACCTGGACACCTGTGATCACTCACAACTCGAAAACACGCGTTTTCTCAGACATAAGGCTAATCTAGATTGATTTATCACCCCCGAAACCCCCTGTATCCTAAATTTCATGAAAATCGTTGGAGCCATTTCCGAGATTCAGATTATATATATACTTATATATATACAAGAATTGCTCGTTTAAATATATTAGAATTAGAAATTAGAATATAAGACGAAAGCCTACACTCTACAGTATTACGTAAACTACTTTTTCAAAATTAAACATGACCTCCAATGATTACTAAATATTACCGAAAGCCAATTTTTTATATAATAATATCGTTTAAGGTAATTGTGCTTTGTTTTAGTAAAATTAACTATCGATTTTATTGCTTTTCCTAAGTTTTCCTAGCTTTATACTTTGACTTATATATAACACTAGCGACTCACTCTCGCTTCGCTTGGGTTCATCCCTAGATTGATTCCCCATACAAACTTTCATCCCCATTTTCACCATTTAAAGGGATGTTTTAAGGGATAAAAGTATCCTATGTCCCTCCCAGGGTCTTAAACTATTTTCTTACTAAATTTCATCAAAATCGGTTCAGTAGATCCAGAGATTACCCCCTACAACGTCGCAAACTCACAATCCACAAACTCACAAACTTTACCTCTTTATAATATTAGTATAGATTACGATGTTTAATTTGTAGCGATTTTTTAATTAAGAGTATATTTTTTTTTTGAAATACCATACATTTTTAAACTTGTGGTAACAAGCTATTAACTTACCGTTGGCAACTCAACAGTCCCCAAAGAATTGTTTAATGTCCACTGAAAGTTTTCAGGTGGTGGGAAAGCGTCGACCTCACACGCGACACGGGCCGCTTCATTAATAGCCGCGCCTACTATCGCTGCAACTTTGTTCTTGCAAACAGGCTTGACTGTGAAAATGTTAGAAATTTAAATAAAATAAATTAATTCGATTTAAATTTTAGTTTATGTTGCTGTACCTATTGTGTCGTAGGACGTAGGTTCATATCTCGTGTGGGACATGTTTGTATTAATCATATTGGTCGAGGTCAAGTTCAATAAAAATCTAGTATCTTAACATTACCATAATTAATATGTTATTATTATTATAAGCCTGTAGTAGCCCACTGCAGGGCAAAGGCCTCCCTACTCTTTCTCCACTGCTCAATATTTAATCAAATTAATATGTAATTCAAATATATTTTTTCTAACACATTATCCTTTTTATACTGTAACCTAAGATTAAGCCTATTTGTTGAAGCACCATTAAGCTATTTTTAAGTAAATTAAGTAACATAACCAACGTAATGCTCTTTTTTTCTATCAGGCGTCGTTATATATTGTCATTATGGCACAGACGGTGATTTTAAATTTTTCTTCTCAATAAATTGTAAGACAGCGTGCTGTTCGGTCATCAAAGTTTAAATTTTTCATTTAAAAATCCCAGTAAAACCCCCCTATACGCGCACATGGTCCTTCGAGCCGGATTATTATAATTTCTTTGGAAATATAGGGATTTAAAGAATATTATCTGGAATTTTATAAAATTATAAAACTGAGCAACGTGTCCAAAAGAAGTGATTCAACCTACACGTTTTGGATGAAGAAAAGTGGCTTGGACTTTAGAGTGATTTAATTTAATAAAACAAATTGTTTTAAGCGTTAAATAAAATTTATTTCACCCAACACTCAGGTAATATTCTAGGTAAAAACTTAATGACCAATATGAAGACTGTATAAGGTTAGTAAAATATGTTTTAATGTAATATTTACAAGTTATTCTTATTTTATTTAAAACTACTACAATTTAAAACGCATTAATTAGTTATTTACATTGCATTAGGTTGATTTTATAATAATTATTGTATAATATAGTTAATCAGTACTTCATTGTGACAGTACAGTAATATTAATATTACATTAGTTAACTATTCAGATTTAATACAATATTTAAATGTTAAACCTTAAAATTATTAGCATTGTAAGTAGTTATCATTGTAGATAGTTAGAATTGTAAAATAAGTCACTTAAATATACTAGTCTTAAGTCTATCATACAACAGCAAATTATAAGCGCAGTGCTGCTATAACTTTTAAAAAAAAGTCAAATTAAATCATATTTATTTTGTGATTAATGCTCATTGTCATAGTAATATTGTTATAAAGATATTTGTTACATTATTTAGCGTTCTGTTGTAAAATTCCAGGTTGACGACACCTGCCTTCCAAAATGACCGACATAAAAGATCTTAAAAAGAAACGTGGCAGTTACAAGGGAAGAATTACTTCATTTGCAACCTATTTAGGTCTTTTAAAAGGTTCCGAGTTAACCCCTTGTCAGGCAATGGAGTTACAGTTACGTATTGATAAGTTAGAAAATTTATATGATGACTTTAACGAAATTCAATTACAATTAGAATGTTTATGTGAAAATCTTGATGTTGAATCTATTGAAAGAACTACAGTAGAATCTCAGTATTACAACTTAGTCGCTCAGGCAAAAATTATGTTAAATAACTATTCTAAATTAGAAAAAGATGATGTAAAATCTAGCCACAGTAGTTCAAAGCGTCAACTAGTCAAGTTACCTACCATTTCATTACCAAAATTCTCAGGATCTTACGTTAACTGGCTTGAATTTCGCGATACGTTTACTAGTCTTATTCATGATAATGACGATATGGACGAAATTAACAAATTTCATTATTTGCGATCATCATTGGAAGGTTCGGCTGCCATCGTAATTAAATCAATTGAGTTCTCCGCCCGAAACTACACAGTTGCGTGGGAACTTCTATGTGAACGTTTCGATAACAAACGCTTATTAATTAATAATCACGTCACGGCGTTGTTTGATGTCGAATCGATTACGAAAGAATCCTCAATTGCATTGAAACGCACAATCGACAATATAAACAAAAATATTAGAGCATTAAGTTCATTAGGCGAGCCTGTTCACAGTTGGGATACTCTTCTAATATATATCATTAGTAAAAAATTAGATTTTAAAACATTTAGAGAGTGGGAGGAGTTTAAAGGGCGCTTTGATAAAACTCAATCAATTTCATTTCAACAGTTCATGGATTTTCTGCGTAGCCGTGCCGACTTACTAGAAACAGTTGAACTATCACGCCCCTCTTCCAGTAATATTAAATCCAACACTAAAATTAAGGCTATGGTTTCCACAGAAAAAATAAATACTTCATTAGCACACGGTTGTCCAAAGTGTAGTGGCGATCATAATTTAAATTCATGTCCACAGTTCTTAGCACTGAGTGTTAGCGATAGAATGTTATTATTGCAAAATTACAAGATTTGTTTTAATTGTTTTCGTCACGGTCACTATCCTAATTCTTGCAAAAAACCAGGTTGTAAAATTTGCAAGCGCAAACACCACACGCTTATTCACAATAATGATTATAAAAGCCATCCCGTTGTAAACAAATCAGGTGAATGTACAATCGGCAAGGCCAAGGACAAGTCATCTTCCATCGCTACTGACAACGGAGACAACGCGCACGTTGCACTATCGGCTAACATCTCGGCGCACTCGCATACAAGCACCTCGAGCGACGTCCTTCTGTCGACTGCGTTAATTAAATGTTATGATGTAAATAATAAAGAACACATCGCTCGCGCCCTTCTTGATTCCGGTAGTTCGTCTTGTCTAATGACGGAACGATTATTTAAAAAATTAAATTTACCATATTTAAATATAAAAAAGTCTATTCAAGGAATTAATAATTCACTATCTCCTGTAAGAAAAATGTGCCGAGTTCACGTCGAATCTTTACACGAACCTTATGCTAATGATATAATATGTTTTGTCTTGCCCACTATTACCGATAACGTTCCCGCTAGACAGGTACATATAGATATTCCTTCGAATATACAGTTAGCAGATCCGTACTTTCACTCGCCAGCTTCCATTGATATTATAATTGGAGCTGACGTATTTTGGAGCTTGTTAGGCTCTGATAAAATTATATTAGGTGATAGGAAACCAACATTACAACAAACTAGACTTGGTTGGCTAGTTTGTGGCCCAGTTAACGGCGGCTATAATATGTTGTCATCTCATTTCCCACCAATACAATGTAACTTTACAAACTTTAAAAATAACCGTTCTTCTAGTTCTCTTGAGTTAGATGACATCCAAAACCAACTTACGCGTTTTAGACAGCTTGAAGAAGTTTGTCATCAGTCATCAACTTATTCATTTAAAGAGAAGATATGCGAAGAACACTTTATTAATAACACTACGCGTTTGCCAGACGGCTGTTTTAATGTTAGAATCCCGCTTAAGGAACCTTCAAGTCGTCTTGGTGATTCATTTCATCGTGCAAAACGTTGTTTTCTGTCATTAGAGCGCAGAAATTTAAAGCAACCTCCACTCGACAAAATGTACAAGGATTTTATGTCTGAGTATATTTCTTAAGGTCACATGTCCGAGTGTCATATTAATGCAAACCAAACGTCATATTTCATTCCGCATCATGATGTCTTGCGTAAAAGTAGTATTACTACAAAATTAAGGGAGTTAGTTCCTTCAATTTCGAGCATCTAATATTGTCTTCTGGACTGATTCTATGATTGTTTTGGGCTGGTTAAAAATGTTACCAATTAAATTAAATACTTTTGTTCGGAATCGTGTTTCCGAAATATTAGAAGAAACCAGTTCTAGCAATTGGAGGCATGTCCCTACAGACGATAATCCCGCGGATTTGATATCTCGTGGAGTAGAACCTTCCGCCATGCAAGCATTGGATTTATGGTGGTTTGGTCCATCCTTTTTACGACAGGATATTACTAGACTGCCATGCATGCCTACGGATTCAGTGAACCTACCTGAAATTAAGTCAAATATTTGCCTTGTAGCGAGTGACGCTAATCATAATTTAGATAAAGGATTAATTAGTTTTGAACGTTTTTCAAATTTTACGCGGTTACAACGTAGTATTTGTTATGTGTTACGTTTTATTAAAACATGCAAAACCCGTTCTACATTTACGTCTAACTTTACTGCTGAAGAATTACAAAACTCTTTAAACATAATTATAATTCAGTCGCAAAAGGAATCTTTTCCCGAATATAATTTATTAATAAATAAACAAAAATTACCATATAAAATTAATTATTAAAATTTAATGTTTTTCTCGATGATAACAAAATAATCCGTATAGGGGGAAGATTACATAATTCTGACTATTCATTCGAGAAAAAACAACCTATATTATTACAGTCCACTAATCATTTTGTCAAACTTTTATTCAGACATGAGCATATCAAGTTAATGCACGCTGGACCTCAACTATTATTAAGTACCATTAGGCAAACCTATTGGCCGATAGGCGGTCGTAATTTAGCTAGGGCTTGCTACCGTCAGTGCGTTCGATGTCAACGTTTGAAAGGACAGACAGTTGTTCCCCAAATGGGTAATTTGCCAATGAGCAGGCTTTCACCAGCTGACTTTCCTTTTCAAAACGTTGGGGTCGACTATGCAGGACCCATTTCGTCAGCTAGTCGTCAAGGTCGCGGATGTAAAATAGTAAAGGTATATATAGTTATATTCGTGTGCTTTACTACGAAGGCCATTCATTTGGAATTGGTGGGTGACTTGACTAGCAGTAATTATTTACAGGCATTACGCAGGTTTATGTCTCGAAGGGGAAAACCGCTTAATCTTTTTTCCGACAATGGTTCGTCGTTTGTAGGAGCCTACAATGAAATTTCTAATTTTTTAAAACTTAACTGTGACTCCTTAGCTGAAGACGTTGCCCAACATGGAACTAAGTTCCATTTTATTCCTGCCTATGCTCCACATTTCGGTGGACTTTGGGAGGCAGGTGTTAAGTCGGTCAAATACCATTTAATTAGAGTGTTGGGAAATTGTAATCTCACGTACGAGGAGC